GGCGGAGCCAACCTTCAGGGATCGGACAAGATAGAGTCAGTCCTTGGGAGTCAGCTGAGGTGGAGCTGACCCTAGGGGCTCGAGCGAGGCAGAGCCCATGGCCTTAGTGTCCACCGAAGCGGAACCAACCCTTGGGGGTCGGACGAGGCAGAGCCCATGGCCTCGGTGGTTAGACGAGGCGGAGCCCAGCAAGAGGTATAGTGGCGCTCTTCGCTGCTCGGATGGATCAATCGTTGATGGTCATTAGTGATGAGGACATGACACCCACTGACCATGTTTGGTGCATGGTATGGAGGGGTAGGAGGCCAGCAAGGGTGTCCAAGTCAAGAAGGAGGTCCCAGGCTAATTCGGTTCGAGTCCCCGAGGTGGAGGCCCAAAGCAACTCAAGTTCGAGTCTGCCTCGGCCTCCAGGACCAGTCTGCCTTAAACTGGTCACCCGGGAGGCATCCAGACTCTATTTTCGATGATCCACATATGGATGGAATGCTAATTTGATAAGGAAGCCAATCCAAGTGGTCTCACATCAAAACCTATTTGGAATCAACAGGAATCATGGTCACAAGTCAGCATCCAGAATCTGCCAGGGTGCTGCGACACCATCTTTTGGTCTGTTGGACCATGTATCGTGTTTGGACCCATTAGGGGGCACGTCCAGGGTGGGCGACGACCCTAAGACCTTTATAATCATACGCCGCTACCGTCATTAGGGTTTGGGTTTTGCTTAGATTATTCTGTCAAGAACAGTTTCACCGTTCATCGGTTTGTGAGACCCCAACTTTGAGAGATTAATCATTCATTTGCAATTTGGTTGTGTTCTTTCTTGTTCTTGCTTGTATTCTTCATTGCGCAAGCAGGGATTAGCCTTCTTGGCGAGGTCAACCTGGTCCGTGACTCGGTTGATAACTAGAGGAGCTGTGTTGCTAAGATTGCAAGGTTCGATCTTTTGATTTAAAGCCGGATCGGTGTGTCATTCTCCGCCACAACGATAGTTACCGCCACCTGACGGAAGATCGGGATCCCCGTCCCCATTAAGTGGTAATCAGAGCTAAGGTATACCGTCAGGTTCATATTTATTCCCAAGTTTGAGTGTTTCGCATTCGTCCCATAGTCCAGTGCCATACTCGTTTATCTTGTCCAAGAACCTTCCGCGCCATAGCCTTTGCATATTTCAGTTTCAGAGTCTGTTGTGTTAAGTTTGTATCCTAGTCAATGTCTTGTTGCTAGTTAGGTCGTGTTAGAGTCTAGTTCGTGTGTTTTCCCCCATCGTTTCCATCATATCTTTGCTGTTGTGACCAGTTTTGTGCACATTGTTCCCGTTTTATCCTCTAATTCGGAGACAATTCTTAAAGCTGGTCTAGTTTTCGCATACGAACTCCAATTTCGATGTTCCATATATCAAAATCGATCAGAAAAAAATTTCAGTCCATCCATCCCCTGTTTTGTCAGGGTCAGAAATTTTTAAATTGGTCAAAAAATGGTCACAAGATTCTCTTTTCGTGGTCACAAGGTTTGTGTCGATTTTGAGCAAGTTTTCTGAATTTTCCACAGGCCACGTATTTCACTTGTTTGAGCTCATATTTTTTGTGGTTACTTCTTTTGTGCTCCTAAGTAAAGGAAAAATATCAAAAAAATAAAATAAAAAAGTCGAAATTTTCCAAAAAAACAATGACATCCCAAAAAATAGAAAAAAAAAAGAGGGACAAAAGAGGAACAATATCTAGAGGAGCACATAGAGAAGACCAAAGTGAGCTATGTTAGCGTGTGCTATCTGGTTCCTTGTTTGTGTTGCTGTTTCCATCCATCATACTTATTTTTCACACACCTGTCACCTTGCTATCCACCATACTTTTGTCACACACTTGGTACTTGGAACATTTTAGACCAGCAACAAGAACAAGTACTTTGGACTATAATTCAGCATTACTTTATGTTACTGATTTGTGTGCTAGATATACATATTACTCTTTGTTTGCCTTCCAAGCTCCACAAATTCTTCAGATCAGTACAGAAAAAGGGTCTTGCAATCTCGGTACCATTGCCTCACAGGTATCACGAACCAGCCACCGGTTGTACCGCCCACTGCTTGTGTTGGTAAGAACTTTATAAGAGCTTGGTAAGATGCTTCTACTTACTGTGAAAAGTGACACCATTGCAACTACATAGTCATTTGATAGGGATAATACTTTTGTGTTGTCTTTTGCTGTCTTCTAACAATGACAGGTTGTTTATATCCACCGACTTATGATGGTATAGGAGCTGATGAGTACATGGAGTGGAAAATTACCATAGATAATATATTTGCTACTCGCTTTATGTGTCCAAGGAGGAAGGTAAAGACATTCTGCTTTATCTTGGTGGGAGTCTTTAGATCCTTCTAATAAACCTCAAACTTGGAATGATATGAAACTTCTTATGCGAGAAACCTTTGTTAATCCACCTCCTGTTTTGATTTCATATGATGAGGTGCACCATTTAGAGGAAGAGTCTGTTGTTATTCCTCTTGTTATGACTAACCTTCTGCAGGATAATATCCATAAGCGAGAGGATGACATGGAAGAAAATGAGGAGCTCACAACCTCATATGCAAATTCAGAACCAACACTTCACAATGCACCTATTACTCCTGCTGAGAACACAGGTAATGCCCATGGTGGTACACTCACGGAAGGTGAGAATTGTTTTAATGTACTAATTTTTTCCACAAACCATGCTGTCATAGAGCAATTGTTAGTGGAATCCTATCTTGATTTATCTCTGTACCATGATAATTTGCTTGAAGTTCCTTGTGATAAAGATGAATTGGTTGATGATGCTTCAGTTTTACATGTTTTGGAACCAGTCACTTGTGCTGAAAATAAACATGTTATTCATATTGCTACTAAAACTGATGAGTTCAAATTGTTGTCTTTACATACTTTGGGTTACATTGAATTTAATATTTTGTGTAATCTAGATTGTTTGGATGAGAGCCTTTTTAAATATGCTGATTTGCCTTGGTTTTCTAAACACACATATCATATTATTGGCAGATATAACAACAAGGGACAATATATGATACATCGAGTATACATTCGTAGTAATATGAATTCTTCTTTTGTTGTACAACAACAAGATCGTTTAGAGGACAGCCATAATAATACAAACATTTTCTCATGTTCCTCAAAGAAACAAGTTCACTTCAAAGAAGGGGAGCATTGTTGGTTGCTACCTATATCTGCTAGACCATCTATTCCTGCATTGTCTTTAGTTAGTTCTAATCTTTTGCAGGATAGTGTTGATATACATCGTGTGCATTTGGATCATGGAGTATATAAGCTTGCTGAAATTTTTATAAGAGATGATATGCTAGAAACTTGGAAACATGGTCACGTTTCTTCTCACAATTATTTCATATTTCTTTGTCTTCGCAACCCCGTTCTCCTTTGTGTTGTGCAGGATCAGTTTCAAGCACAGTCGACGCCAAGGACGGCTTTTCGTCAAGAAGGGGAGGATGATGAGGACATGACACCCATGCATATGACCATGTTTGGTGCATGGTATGGAGGGGTAGGAGGTAATTAAGGGTGTCCAAGTCAAGAAGTAGGTCCCAGGCTAATTCGGTTCGAGTCCCCGAGGTGGAGGCCCAAAGCAACTCAAGTTCGAGTCTGCCTCGGCCTCCAGGATCAGTCTTCCTTAAACTAGTCACCCAGGACGCATCCGGACTCCGTTTTCGACGATCCACATATGGATGGAAAACTAATTTGATACGGAAGCCAATCCAAATGATCTCATGTCAAAAGCTATTCGGAATCAACAGGAATCGTGGTCATAAGTCAGCGTCCAGAATCTGCCAGGGTGCTGCGACACCATCTTTTGATCCGTTGGACCGTGTATCGTGTTTAGGCCCATTAGGGGGCGCGTCTAGTGTGGGCGACGACCCTAAGACCTTTATAATCATACGCCGCCGCCGTTATTAGGGTTTGGGTTTTGCTTAGATTATTCTGTCAAGAACAGTTTCGCCGTTCATCAGTTTGTGAGACCCCAACTTTAAGAGATTAATTATTCATTTGCAATTTGGTTGTGTTCTTTCTTATTCTTGCTTGTGTTCTTCGTTGCGCAGGCAGGGATTAGCCTTCTTGGCGAGGTCAACCTGGTCTGTGACTCGGTTGATAACCAGAGGAGCTGTGGTGCTAAGATTACAGGGTTCGATCTTTCGATCTGAAGCCGGATCGGTGTGTCATTCTCCGCCACAACGATAGTTACCACCACCTGACGGAAGATCGGGATCCCCGCCCCCATTAATTAGTCTCTCTCTTCAGGTACCCTAGTATTGGTCCCCGACGACATGATAGTGCTATTTTCATTGACTAAGGTAGGATTTTTTTTCTCAATTCTGCCATGTACATCCAAATCTATCCAATATCAACACTGCCTTCATCAATGGTTTCCTTGGGCAACAAGTTCAGACCTGTAAGACCCACTAGCCTACTCCCTTACTCTCTTAGTGCTCTTTCTCATTCTCATTGTTCTAATTGTTGTGGAAACAGAAAACGGATACAGTAGTGGGTAGGCATGAAAAATCGCAAATAAAGTTATATCATTCATTCTTTGGCGAACTAAAACAAATTAAATTGAAGATCTTGGAGTGGGTAGGCATGAAAATTCTCTGTACAATTGCACCCTTTCTTGCTGCCTTAATTCCAGCACTAAATCCCATTGCATTTTTTTTCTTTTCTGTTCAGGAAGGAAAAAAACTTGGCGCACGAGGACAATGACATACTGAGAGATTCAAATATTGAAATTATACTTTCTTTATTAGGATCAAGTGTCTACTATCAGCATTCAATATTTTATTTAAGATCATTTAATGGAGGTATCGGCTCTATGTTGAGGAGGCAGAATGGATCATATATGTGACAGATGTTGGTCAGAAGCAGCACTTTGACATTTTTTTTCAGTGTAAGCGCAGAGTGGCACCAAGATGTTTTCCATTTACTGTTGTCTTTTTGCAGGCTGCAAGGATGGCTGGTTGGCTCCCAGATCCAAGTGAAAAGAGGTTTCCAAAAACAAGACAGGTTGGATTTGATCTTGTTCTTGGTTCATATGGCAAGCGGTTCCGAACCCGCAGTATTGAGGTTGTTCGATTTGTAGAGCTACTTGATGAGGCCAAATCTCGGAGCACATCAGAACTACTACAATGGGTCATTGAAAATGATAAATTGGACTATTTCGGAACCTTATCTTTGTCCTTCAGGTGACTATGATCATTATTTTTTGTTCAGGAAAAATTGTGTTAGTGTTTGTAATTTGTGTTAGTGCTTCTGTTAGTAAATTAGCACATGTAAAGTAAGGCAGGATAGCACTTGTGTTAGTGTTGTCAGTGATTAGCTTGTTTATTTAACCATGCATCTCACTAGCTTGGTTGTTGTTGACATGATCATCCGCCGTAGGACTATCTGTATTTGATCTGCAGCTTGTGTTTGGTTTTAGCTGTTGTTCTTATTTGATCCCTTTTACTGTCAACATTTGACCTAATTAGAGAGGCCTACTACCCACCAGCAGAACTATAACAGAGATATTTTTTATCAAATAGATCGTTCTGCAGTTTTTGTGGTCAGGTCTGGGTTACGTGACCCCAAGGGTAACTAAGTTTTAGTGGTGGTGCTCGTGTGATATTACTTGTGGGTTTGAGTTTGTAATCTTTGTAGTTGAGCGTCGTGGTGCTGTATGCTTATTGCCTATATAATGTGTAAAGATTAAGATGAGTTTTCTTGTGTCTGACTGAACTGAAATGATATGTTTCCTGGATCCTTCAATCAACGAAGTATAAATTTTTCGTAGGAATAAAAATGCGCTGGTAATATTATTCAAGTAGACTAGGAATTTTTTTTCAGTATCTAAGGAACAATACGCAAAGGTGATTCATCTAAGCTAATGGCATGGTGGATTTTGTGCCTGTGTAAGTGTAGACTTTGACTATTCATGCTCTGATGGAATCGAAGAGGGTGATGACAGCATTTGGAGCATCGTTGGTGGGAAAGTAAACAAGATGCTGCATGTCATAACTCATACGTGATGGCAGAATTCTGTGTTTCAGTTTTTTTTAGAGAGGATAATTTCAGTAAAATATGGCATGTAAAAAGCTAACCTGAGAAATTGCACTTGAGTCGGAAAAAATAATTAGTAGCAAACAACTACTTGTATCATATATCATGGATTAAATCAAAATGACCAAGGGCTACCCTAATTATGGAAATTTATGGACCCTGGTTGTTATTGGATATTTTCTTGTACACTCACTTTATTTGTCTTACCTTTTCTTAGAAGCATTTGGAATATCACCAAAGACATAGGCCTTGTTCGCTTTGCTGAAAAGTCATGGCTGAAAATACTGTTCGCTGATTTGTTGTGGGAGAAAAACACTGTTCGTTCGCTGAAATAGTATGGCTCATAAGATAAGTGAATAGGGCCATAGAGTTATCGAACTGTTGGTAGAAGAATCAATTTTGTTTTTGGTTACATCGTTGCAGAATTGCAAAGTTGTACATTCGACTTGCTGTTATGCTAATCTGAGCCAGTTCAACTTGCTGTTTGGTAATTATGGCAAAAACATTAGAATTTTGACTCTCATGATAGGAAATGGGAATTTTGACTCTCATGATAGGTACGTAGAGTTTGTGAGCTTATGAGATCGCGCTCTGTGTGACTGTTAATTTCACAAACTTTGCCTTTTGAATTAAATGTCGCTTTAATATCGATATTTAATTTTACAGTATTGTTATCTTATCGTACGATCTCTATGTTTTTTTATAAAAGTTTAGATGTCCCGTAGCAACGCATGTGCACACTACCTAGTATAACCAAAATCATAGGAAGTCATGGCTGATTCTAGTGCAGATGCATTTTGGAAGCAAAATCATGCGAATTCCACCTAGAACTCAGGTGCTGTTTGGATTTATATAGAAAAATTAAAGGTATAAATAGGGTTAGGCATTTAAGTGATTTGGTCTATTCTGTGTCCAGAAAATTCAGGTTTCAAAAAGTAAAGGCCGAAATTCTCATATAAATAGATAATAAAGTAAACAGAGACCGAACTCTAATAGATCGAAAATTTTGGTCCGTACATTTACGTACCCGCAACATGAAGTATGACAAGCCGACTCGAAATAGATTCCATCCCATGTTTATGTCAGAGAAATAGTAAGATTTTAGGAAAGAGAAACGAGAGCTTCTTTTCCACCAGTTCCATATCTATATTTATCTCTATAATATATAATACTATATAATAACCTTATATTTATATTTTTTTAGATCAAAAGCATTCACCCGGCTTTATTAAAAGCTTAACAAAAACCCAGGACCCGAGGCTGGTGTTACCAGCTTACAAATAGAAACACAGAGTTTAACTCGACTCACAACACGACTTAACCGAGCTCTAAAACTTCAACACCACCATGAGGAAAAGCTCGGCAAAACTAGAAATCAAACTCGTTCTAACAACTCGCCAAGCACAGACATTATGACAAAGTTATAAGAACAGGATCAACAGAGATCATTCCCAGCTCGACAAAGCAAAAGACACAGAGCCAAAGAGGCCAGGCAACCAAAACTTGGCGTTTGTCGAGAGAAGAGATATCATTTCGTCTGCCACTAGCTTCAATTTTGGCTTCACCAGCGGGCTCCATGATTTGATGAGCATCAACGTCTTGAAAATGATGGCTTGCAGTGAAGATAAGTGCTTCTTGTTGAACACCACATCATTTCGGGTCTTCCAGATCGTCGACATGGCTCCTACACAAATGAACAGAGTTACCTTTTGTTTTTTTTTTCCTCTAACAGCTTCCAACAGCTCTGAAAAGAACTCTACACAACTGGTTGGTGATCTCAACCACCCAAGAGAGTTTCTGAGAAAGGGCCATAGATAAACAGCAATGGGGCATTGGAAAAGGATGTGATATGTGGTTTTCAATTGGTCACAACCAGCACATTTCTCCGGACCTAACCATTGTTTTTCTTTCATTGACCACTTGATTGAATTCTATCATGGGCTGCTATCTACAGAAAGATTTTCACTTTTAAAGGAATGTTACACTCCCATATCGGCATCATCTGGATATCTCTAACACCTCAGAGGTCATCGGTTTGTACAGAGAATTAGTTGAGTATTTTCCATATTTTTCCAAGGCCCAGGCAACCCCATCTCTTCCTTCTGTCATATTGATCTCACTCAGCATGTTCTGAAGTTGAATCCATTCATCAATGAGGGCATCATTCAATTGTCTTCTGAATTGGATCTGCCATTGACCATTCTAAAAAGCTTTGGCAACCTCTATGTCAGGATTAGTAGTGATCTGGAACAGATTGTTGAATGTTATTTGCAGAGGACACTCTCCTATCCAGCAGTCTAACCAAAATCTAGTTTGTTGACCACTTCTAACAATTACCCCTATGCCTTTTTTTACCAATCTCTCATGTCTAGCGCTCCATCTTCCCCGCGACTGTTGGTTCAGCGCTCTTGTTTTCTCCCCGCTAGGCAGCCCGCAGCCTCCATCCTCCCCGCGACTCGTCGTCGGTCTTCCCCCGCTCCTCGATCTCCTCCTCATGTAGTCATATGACAGCACTCTCTGTTTCACTAGCGCCGGCTGCGCCCCGCCCGCGACGTGTTTGATAAAATGCTTTTGCGCGGGCTTGTGTTTCCTAGAATGTTTGAGGTGAGTACTACATTTTAGCAACCGTTGTGGTGGTGGTGTATTAGCGACATGGAGCATCATTCGTGGCTCTATTTTACTCGTTGCCCCCGAAGTACTTGGCTGGTCGCCTAGGCCTACTAGTCTAATAAGTACCCAATGCTTGATGTGAAATTTCATCCAGTAAACTCAAAGCTAGCAATCATATCTGTTACTTACCGGTAAGGCTGGACGAAAAATTCGAAGCTGGTTAGCTCGCTCGGCTCATGGCTGACTCAACTCGGCTCGGCTCGGCTCGGCTCGTTATGATAACGAGCCGAGCCGAGCCAAGATTTTAGCTCGTTAGCTATAACGAGCCAACTCGAGCCAGCTCATGAGCTGCTCGCAAGCTAAACGAGTTAAGCTTCTAGGAAAAAAAGTATCAAAATTTATCTTAGTTTTTGTATTACTTCATATCTTGCACTTTACAATTGACTGGTAACTGGTCTAGACCCTATAAATTGACTGGTAACTGGTCTAGATGCATTTCTTTTGTATTATTATTATTCTCAAACTTTAGATAAATGCAAATATTATATTTTGTGTATTTTTTATATCTAGCTCGCGAGCTTAACGAGCCAGCTCGAGCTTTTAACGAACCGAGCCGAGCTGGCTTTCTGGCTCGTTAGGATAACGAGCCGAGCCGAGCTAGCTCGTTATCTTAACGAGCCAGAACAAGCCGAGCCAGCTCGTTATCCAGCCTTACTTATCGGCGCTTCTCCTGGCCGCATCCTGTCTTTTTGTGGGGTCGAGGGCGCCTTCCTGTAGCTATGCGTGCGGCGGGGACACCCACAGGACGTATGGTGGCGTTCGGGGTTCGCGGGGACACCCTGTGTATCTCTGGCGTTTTTCTTCATGACAGGCCACATCTATGCTCCGGTGGCGACGGTGTGGAGGTTGTATGAGGTCGGGCGAAAGCTTAGACGATGACATCTGCGGACGCCGTTCCCTCCTTGAAGGCGTCCTTTACTACCACTCCTCCTTTCCGTGCTGGATTGTGTAGGTGAAAACCTTCCCTTATCAGGCTAGCTTGTTGACACTCTTGGCGTCGTTTCCTCCTTGAAGGCTTTGCTAGGCTACCCATTTTCCGCCGGGATCTCTTGTTGTCTGCCATGGATCTTGATGGTGCTCGGTGCTCCAAGTCGTTTTTGCTAGTGGTTTTCTTAGTTAGAGTGGTTCTTAGTTGCTCTAGTGGTTAGCTAGTCGTCGGCATAGTCGAGTTGATAGTTGGGTCGTTTTCGACCAAGTTGGCTTAAGTTTGAGGTGGTGCACTCACAATTGGTGGTTTTTTTGTCCGGTTTCCAGTTAAAAAATTAGGCCGACTCTTGAATTTTTATTTTTTTCGTCTAATATAAATCACGGCAAAGCTTTTGCCGTCCCTTCTTAAAAAAAACTTATTATTAGAAATTACCCAGTCTTGAAGAATTCAGCATCTATGTGTCTCGTCTTTGCTTGCATGTCACCTGAACTCTTATTTCTTTGTGTACGTAAGGTGATCAGATCTTACTGTATTGATTGACCTGCTTTCCTTCTTGTATTCAGATGTAGCACCAAAATTGAGAACTAGGGAGACAGTTGTGGATGGAAAAAAGACTTTTGGTTCTTGTGCTAGGGGAGGGCTAGCTGGGCAAGGCAAAGCTAACCATGCTAAGCAAGGCTAGGCCAAGTCTGGTGGATTGTCTTTTTACCTGTAGCAAGGTACGCATGCATGCATCAAAGATCCTTGAGTGTGATAATGTGTCTGCATCCACCAGGATCCATGGGTTAGCAATACTCTTTTTTTCTCGAAAACACAGGAGAATTGCGCTTCATTATATTAAGAAGAAAAAAAGATGAAGAAACCCTGTACAACATACACCACACCAATCCCAATTACAAGGACTTACACACGCGCCTGTGAGAACATAGAGCGACCAGAACTAG